TCTAGCCGACGCATGGTCCTGTTTTCTGCACAATCTTGCATTCGGGTCTGCTCAGGTCGACCCCTTCTACTGCATAGGTCGACCGCTCGTTGTTTTGTGTCAAATTTCTGTTATGCCAACTGTCTTTGTGAATTGGTTTTGTTTGTTATGTCAGTTATGTTTGGTATATAAGTTGAGTTTACTCTTTCATTTTACAACATTGAGAAAAACAAGAAAAGTGAAATAGGTGTCAATTTGGTTCTCATCATCTTCATTCTCTTCATAGCATCTCACAACAATTACACGTAATCATCTTTGTTGTGCATTGTGCATTGTTAAAGGTGATAACGTTCGAAGCCGAAGATTGGTTTATCCGATTCGAGTTGAGAAAAATCGACAGGTTTTTCTTGAATAAAACCTTGGGATTTTGCCCTTCAAGATTCTCAAATTTTGGGGTTTTTTGCATGATTCGTCTCATCACATATTCAGCCGAGTGAAGGTAATCAAGGAGCTGGAGGTTCCGTCAATTTAGTAATGGTAAACAGAGGATTGTGAGTGGGAGTTTTAGGTTTGACACGCGGGTGATTGAAATCAGTCGGGCCAGATTTTGAAGATTGAAGGTTGTTCAAAGAGAGTGTCGCAATCATAGGTTTATTCACAGCTGTCGAAGTACTTGATTCAACTTGAATCAAGGGGCAAGAAGAAATAGGATCTGCAACAACAATAGTGTTCGTTTGTTTGATAGCTATTCGCTTCTCGTATAAACTTTGACCAACAGGTTATATCTATCTATTAACAGGTCTCAATTCTATTGTTAGAATTGAGGGCAAACATACCCCGAGCGAGGACGACGGGGGAACTGCCTCAAAAAATCGTTGTGTCTTTGCTTTACATTTATATTGCTTAATATCTATGTTTTTAGTGAAAACGATTATATCAATCTAGGTCTGATTTGAGTTGTGCTCAAACTAATTTTGAACCTAGTACAATCATTGATTGTAAGAGGGAAATTGAGCACCTAACTCTCAAAACAGAACTCACTTGTAGTGCTCTGCACGCCAAGTGTTTGATAAATTGTCTGAACTAAAAACCTTGTGTGTTATCTTTTCATATTGTTAATATTTTAAAGGCATTGGGAATTGTCACACTGTATAGTGAGCATAATCAAATTGAAAGTGTGATTAACGTAGTGATTCTCATATCTCGTTTATCTGATTCCATAGGCTTAACGTATATCCGGTTTTCTAGTAACCATTCGTTTTAGACGTGCATAGTTCCTCGGCCGCTTCCGCAATTAAACAAATTATAAAAACCATTTTTATTGGTAGCGCCGACTCTTTTAAGCAAGAGATCTATTCAACCCCCTTCTAGATCTGCGTCGTCGTTTAACAGAGCAAATAATTCTTCATGTCATCGGTCGTGGAGACCTAAACGACTTCCCGATTGAACCCCTCATGTAGGCTCAGAGGGATTCGTATTTCCCTTGCATGATTTCTTTGAGCATCGCCTCAAACTTTGGATGGCGATAAGAAGCGGTGAAGTGCCTTAAAAACAACTTCCCTAGGTCTCTCCAGGAAGTGATGGATTCATCGGCGAGGCTCTTGTACCACGTCATGGCACCCTTCCTCAAAGTAGTAAGAAACAACCTGCATTTGATGGCGCCTCTGACTCTGCGATAATCGAGCGGAGCATCGATGTTTTTTATGTGTTTGTCGGGATTCGTTGTTCCATCCTATGTTCTCAGGTTCAGTGGTTTTTTCATCCCGACGGGAAGGGGAACATCCATGATTCCTAGAGATAGTGGCCCGTTGGGGTCGTCTTTGTCACTCCAAACCGGCGAGCGCGGTGGAGAATTATTGTACTTCTCTCACCGAGGGTTGTCATCGTAGTGTGACAGCGAGTCCTTTGGTCGACCCTTTGATTTGCGCGGAGGTGAACGACGATTATCTAGTCATTCAATGGCTTTTCTTTTCTTGGCACTCGGGGAGCGTCGATCCTCGCGAGGAAGAGCACAGTTGCACTTCAGGGGCTGCGGCCTATCTACCTCCGGGCAGCGGCCTGGTCGTCATGGCGATAGGCTTCGGGACTCATACCGTTGGTGTCTCCGTGGGGGAGAGCGTGAATGAGGGTCTTTCTCCAATGTTCCGATCTTTTCATTTTGTTGGTAGATCAACGCGTTGGTCTAGTTAAGCGCCACGAGTAAGACCGCCATGGTTGGGTCGGCGTTGGGTGGCATCGGAATCAATTGAAATTTCTCTGATGTCTTCTTTGGAGCTTTCTGGACTTTGCGAGTCTCGACGCATTGGACATCATCATCGGTCGCATCGTCGGAGGAGGGGGAAGCGGTGCGCCCGTATCTCATTGGTGGAGTGCTTTCCTCCAAAAGTGGTATACCATTATCGTTGTCAGCGTGATGGATGGGAAAGATGACAGTTTCATGACCGCCGTTGTTGTCGTCGTATTGACCGGCCATGATCGGTTACTGGGGTTTTTTGTTTTGATCTTTTGGTTTCAGGGAAAGAAAAGACGGGGAAACAGGTTCCCACAGACGGCGCCACTAATCCAAACAGCTGATTAGAATAGGTGAGTGGCCAGTAACACGTCTGCGATCTTGAACGGTCGACGAAGGGGGTTGTAGTTGCAGGAACTCCGATGCTTATGTCAGTTTCGGTGAAGAGGTAAGTAAGAAAGGGTTGAAGAATAGAATACATGACCCTGCTGCAGAGGAGGGGTTTTTATAGTGAGGCTCAGCACTTTGCCAATGGTCTCCATTATGGGTTGAGTGTTCAAACCCACAACGGATGACTTCCAGGATTCCTACGTGAAAGTAGGGACGAGCAGCTCGTGCTCATCGTCCTGGGTCAACCGTGTGGATGGACTTGCCCGTTACGAAGGAAAAAATAGTTCTGCGAGGTGTGCAGGTTCAGTTGGTGACGTGTCTTTGGGTGAGAAGCATGTGGGGGACGTGTTCTCTACTAGCCCAACGGGTTGGGCCAACACTTTGGGCCTTCCTCGACGTAGAACTAAATTGGGTTGTGCTCGACGATGGATCAACCACAAGCCCAAACCAAAACAATGACCATGTGAATTATGAAAATTGCAAACTATTACATGTTATTGGTTAAGAGTCTCACATCATTCAATATATAGCTTGAACATTATGTTTATAAATGGGATCATTCATCAATTTATAAGCTGGTTTTATATTATTAAGTTTGATCCAACTACAATTCTAAGATAGTATCAAAGTCAAATTCCAAATTCATTTAACATTATCTTATCAAATTTTCGTTATTAGACCACCTGCTTTTATATCCGCACACTAAGTTCTAAAATACTAAAAGTAGTGAGCGAGTATATATATATATATATATATATATATATATATATATATATATATATATATATATATATATATATATATATATATATATATATATATATATATATATATATATATATATATATATATATATATATATATATATATATATATATATATATATATATATATATATATATATATATATATATATATATATATATATATATATATATATATATAATTGATACACATTTTAAGATGTGGTGTTAGAGTCTCATTCAAAATTTATCCAAAATTCTAAGATGGTTCTAAGATGGTGTTAGAATCTCATTCAAAATTTATTCAAAATTTGTTGGACTACTTATTATCAAATCTCTGTTATCAATCATCCACTATTTATATTGGCATTAAAGGATGATTTATATTGACATGAAAACTTTGATAATATTTATCACATATTTAAAATTTTGATATTCTATTCTACCTGATTAGATATTCAAATTTAATCTATGGATTACGTGATTATGTTGTTTTTTTTAAGTCTCCAAACAAATTCTATAAAACCGACTATGCTTTTTTTTGAAAATTTATTAAATAATTATTTTATTCAATTATTTTTGTAAGGAATCAATATATGAACCCTACACATTTTATAGGTCCATTTATTTTAATTTTTTTTGATTTTAATAGTGTAACATCGTAAGAAAATTTATAAAAGTTTTCTTAATAAAAATTTCAAATAAAAATTCAATTTTTAATAATTATTAAAATATTATTTTAAATATTTTATCATTTTTAATTTTTTTTAATATCAAAATTTTAAAATATTATTTTATTTTGGAACTATTTCAAATGATTTTTTATAAAAATCATTTTCTAAATACAACTTTTTGAAAAAATAACAATTTCGACTATATTTTAATCATTAATAATATGTGTTTATATTATATAAGGTCAAAATTAATCTTTCAATTAAAAAAAACAAATATAAAAAATTCATAATATTTTAAAAAATGGTGTTATAAAATCCGTTTTTAAAAATATAAAGAAAAAAATCTCATTTTTTAAAGTTACAACAATCGGTCCACCCAATATGGATTGATTCAATCGAAATTAATCAGTCTATCAGATCAATCATCACCTGTAATTGCACCCCTAAAATGTGAACATTGTGGCAGAAATGATATAAAAATTAAACTGTAAAATTTATCTGACTATAAATCCAGAAATATCGAAAACAAAGCTATTATGAACTGCTGTACTCCAAACAAATTCTATAGAACTGACTATGCTTCTTTTGAAAATTTATTAAATAAATTCAAATCCTATTAAAATTGCAGTGAATTGAGATATATCAACCCTATAAAATTCAGTTAATTAGAGTGCATAAAAAACAGCCCAACACATTTTATAGATTCATTCAATCCAAATTAATCAGCTTATCAGATCAAGGGTCGCCTGTAATTGCACTTCTAAAATATGAACATTGTGGCACAAATGATATAAAAGTAAAACTGTAAAATTTATCTATGATTATAAATCCAGAAACATAGAAAACAAAGCTATTATGAACTTCTGTACTCCAGATTAAAAACCAAATCATTAAAAACTATAGTTGAGCACCAATGGTGTATTTAACAAAAGACATGATATGAAACTGTCCAAAGTCCAAGCAAGTGAGTGAGGTTTTTTGTTCTTACTTCTTTTTCTGACACTGATTCTTGATCCATTTGAATCCAGCAGAGGTTCCACTCTTCACTTTCTGAGCACCTACCACAGCAGCTGACTTAGCTTTGTCGGCACTGACGATTGCAACTGTTTTGGCTTTGCCCATACTAACCGACGCCATAGCCTTTGCATCTGCCATCTTGCCACTTCCATTGCTCTTATTGTTCTTCACCATCACATCATCCTCATACTCGTCACTGCCAAGCCCACCATTTCCCCATTGGTCAGACCAACTTGGTGCCTTGCTACCCATGTTATTTCTTCCAAACCTTCAGAAAAAAATTCAATTTTTTATTGATTCTATTCACTAATCAGATATTAACACATTGTTCTAAATTGCTGTCAGCAATTGTAGTCGCAGCTTCAACATTAAGGTTTGTAGTCGCAGCTTCAACATTAAATTTACAAGAGCTTAATCCAAAAAACTAATCAGATGTTATACACATTGTTACAGTCACAACTACATTTACAATTGCAATATAACTATGTTTAAGAGATCTCTGAAACAACATTGCAACTGCAACTGCAATCCCATCACCAGAGCCAACCCAAAAGACTAACCATATAATACACATTGTTACGGTCAACAACTGCAGTTCAAACACAATATAAAGATTTTAGAGAAATATACAACAACGTTGAAATTGCAATTGCGACCGCATCAGCTGTGGTTATGACCAAGGGCCGTCTCTGAGTCCAATCCAAAAGACTAATAATATATTATGCATACTGTTCTAAATTTCGGTCATCAACCACAATATAAAGGTTTTAGAGATTTATGCAACATAATCATAACTCCAACCGTGATCGCATCACTGCCACTGTCATGACCGAAAGTCAAAAGACTAGTCAATTAGATGAAAGAGCCTCATCTAAGTACCACATTGGGCGTCATAAGTTCAGCTCATAACCTATACACAAAGACACACGCCAGACACAGAGACACAGACGCCAGACCAACCCAGACGCATCAAAACTAGTAATAATTTGAAAAAAAAATGAATGAATTAAACTTACATGTCGGTGCTACAGAGCTCGTACCATTAGCATTGGTCAGCATTTTGCCGCAGTAATAAGTTTCACAGCTTAACCTCAACTTAAAACCGTGATCATATTCATACACACAGATAATAATAATAATAAATAAATAAATTATCACAAACGCGTTCACAAGTTTAGTCGCAGGAGACTAAAAAACCCAGAAAAGCGTCTAGTCACAAGCACTCAATAAAATCAAATAAACGATTCACAAGTTTGGTGTTGATTACGACAGTGCCCCAATAACAATATTCAATTCAATACAATTTTGAGTACCAAAGAATTGAACCAAAAAAAACACAAAAAATCAGGATTCAATAGATCTCTTAATGAATTCAAACGAAAAATCAATTTGTTCCGTGAGATCCCTCAATGGATTGAAAACAACGAAAAGAGTTTATCAAAATTTTCCATGGCGGTTACATGAACAATAATAGATGACAGTAATTGAATCAATTACTCAGATATACAAGCATTGAGGTATTTTAGAAAAAAGAATATATATATATATATATATATATATATATATATATATATATATATATATATATATATATATATATATATATATATATATATATATATATATATATATATATATGAAATTAAGAAATGAAATTAGATTGAAGAAATGAAATTAAGAATAGAGAGATAGATAGATTACCTTGAGAAATTGAGGAGAGAGGATGGGGATTGGAAGGAAGTGCAATGTAAGGAAGGAAGATGGTGGTGAACGTAGTAGCTAAAGTCAATAATACTTCATTTATACACAATATTTTTTTTACTTTTACTTTTACTGTATCCACCTTCCTTCTCGCTCTTCGTATACTAACACTTTTATATAAAATATATTCTATTCCTAATAAAAATAAATTAATTGTAAAATTAATATTTTTAATTACTATAACAAATAAGTTAGTTTAAAAAGAATTAATATTAATAAATAAAAGCATAATAATAAAAAAGTCATAATATATATTATTAATATCATAAAGAGGCAATATATTTGTTTGACTTTTAATCATTTTTATTTAGAATAAATATCTTTGTAAGCTAAACATATTTATTTTGTTCTTATCCAATAAATTTATATATATATATATATATATATATATATATATATATATATATATATATATATATATATATATATATATATATATATATATATATATATATATATATATTAGTTTGATTCTAAATATTAAATATTTCATTAATTTTTTAAGAAAAAATCTAATTACTTTTTCTTTCAATAAATTTTTTATTTTTCAAATTTCTTAAAGAAAAGTTGAATATTTTTTATTTGGCACAACTTGTGAACGCACAAGCATCTCAACATTATACCACATTGAATCTTTTATTTAACATTTTATTTAATATTTAATTATTTTTTTAATTAAATTATAATTTTAGTCTCCACAGTTCCTTTTCATTTTATTTTTAAACAATTTTGTTTTTATTTATTTTTTGTCAAAACTATAATAAATATAATGATCTATATTTTTTTATTTTTTTTAGTTGTTGGCACAATTAACATGACGTGGACAATTCATTTGTATTCTTATTTAAAAATAATTTTTATTATCTTATATTTTTTAAAAATTAAACTAGTAGAAGACTCGTGCGTCCGCACGGGTAAATTCATTCATATTTTAGATGATTCAATGAGACTTTAATGTTGTTGATGTATAATTCTTATTATGAAATCACTAACATTTACAAATATGTAGTATATCACCTACAGAGAATTTGCTTAATTTGTTTACTCATGTGCTAGGATATCTCCTAGGAGCAAGAATTTGCATTCTTTTATAACAAAGCAAAAGCTACAAATAATTTCAATACTAAATTATTCAATTGATTTTATAGTATATTTGTGTCATAGTTTATTGCTATAATTTTAGTATCAAAAAATTGAATTTTCAAAGCAATTTTTTTAATTTATAATCATATCAAATTTATTTATCATTGGTATAATTGTCAAATGATTGTCGTGCCTCAGCATTATTTTAACATCATGTTAAACTTTATTTTTTTTTCTAATATTTTAAATAAATTAATATGTGGGGAAGAAAGTTGAGGAAGCTACAAAGTTTTTCCATGAATAATACAAATCATCTGTGAATAAAATTAAAGAATACAAAACTTGAAGAGTAAATACCACATTCGCTATAAAATTGTAATCTTTGGTAACAATAAGTATCAACAAATAGTGAATTTCTTAACAATACTTTGATACTAACTATGAATTACTCATTTGTCCATTGTCAAAAAAAAAAACTACTCATTTACCTTGGTTGACTCCCAAAAATCCACCCTTTCTATTTTACTTTCTCAGGCCACGGAATACCTGTGAACTTAACATTGTTAACTATCCTGTAGCTACTTTAGTGAAATATGACATGGGTCTTAGCCTGCAAAGATACAGGGAGATTTATGGTAAGAAGCTGCAATATTATATTTTGGAAATATTCTTTATATTATACCACCAAGCTAGACTTATTCAACAGTTTGTATCCACATCATATCCAAACATAGGAGGGGCTGCACTCTGACAACTAACAATGGTAGAATCTATATACAAACAAACCTAACAAAAATGACCCTCCCCCTCGTCTTAAAAGGAATACAACACTTAAGGATCCAATGTGACTGGATTTAAGTATTCAGAATACAGCCGCCTTTGCAATAGTCGTTGCTTTATTTTTTTTTTTTTTACAAATTGTGGTCGATAACCAAAAGATATTAACATGTGACAAATTTAACAGAATGATATTAATGCGGCGTTTCTTATTTAGGGTATATAAAGAAACTACCGTTAACTTGTCCAGAAATTGCATTGTCTGGCTTCTTTTCTGACTTTGCCTTCTTTTCCGACCTTTTTACTGCCTCAGCTGAAACCATACAAATTTGTTTATTAATAATGGAAAGTGAATGAAGAGATCTAGCCTGTGTGGTTGGAAGAAAATACTGCATAACATTGCTCATGTAATTAGCATAATATGGTATGCAACTTTACATAAAGACATGTATGGAAGTATTGAAACGATAATCAACATATCCGCCACAGGCTAGACATCTGGCAGATACTTCCTTTGTCTAACCAATCATACCTTTAATTTTTATTTTCTTATTAGCTCTCCTCCTTTTCCTTTCTGCCTGTGTAAGTTCTGCTTCTTCTTTAACATCACCCTTACCAGGGGCCAGCATAGCAGCATCTGAAACAGCCACAGGAGCAATCTACCCATGGAAAGTATAATGCATTGTAAGTAACTAAAGAGTAGAAGCAGAAATAAATTTTTGAGAAAAGAATGGCTTTTTACTTCTTCCATTGCCAGAGCAGGTACATTTGTTTGAAAGCACATGTCCTCTATAACCTATGAAATTCATTTAAGAAAAATAAAAAGACAGAAAAATTTAAATGTTCCAGCATATTATTTATTAAGAGAAAATAGGGAATGTTGAGGTCATACCGGTTTTGGATCAAAGTTGAAATGAGAAAGGGCGTCCAGTTTCAAACAGATCTTCTTAAACAGGATGCTAGCCTGATCAAAAGTAAGGGCACAATATTAAGTGTATGGCAAAATTCAAAAAGAATAACTACACAACCAGATTGAGAGCTGCTCCAAGGTTACTGCAAGTACACGAAAAATAAAACCCAACCAAAAGATGAAGAGGTTTAATAGTGGTAGAAATGAAGTAAAGCAATCAAGTGTTCCACCTCATTTTTTAGTTTATCTCTAGTTGACAATGGAACAGAAGTGGGGTCAATCTTCTGAACATATTCTTGCTGTGAAATTTAAAATAAATAAAAAACAAACATCAGAGGAAAATCACTAAAAAAAATAACAAAATGTATGATTAGGAATTAGAGGCCAAATACAATTTCCAGTGTTGAACACAGTCGAGAAATACGGACCTCATAAATCTCTGCAAGACCCTGCTTGCTTTTATTATCATCCTGCATTATAATGTCAACAATCTCCTTTGGTTTGTTTGTCAAACCACAAGCAGTCTAATAGATTATGAAAATAAAACATGTGAAGAATAAAAGTAAGAGTGTGTGATGATTTCTTCCTGGAATTAACGTCTCCTTCCTTTCGTGGTGTCTAATGAAAGTTCCAAAGCCACATGATCGAACCAATTGGATCAAAACAGAGAACTAATAGATTGGTAGATAACTACATGTGAAGCTATATTCGAATTATCTAA